AAGTGGTGGGGAAGGAATAGATTTTCCCATTCACTTTGTCATGAAATGGTGGATGAAGTACCACTGAAGTATACCTAGTGTAGTGATATTCTGAATTTGGACATGTTATTCATGAAGTCATTCTGTGAGAAATTTCCTTCCATCAAATCATCTCCTAGCAAACGAACTCACGACGGTTTATTGCATGACTACTTTAAAATTAGCTAGATCATAGTAACTACCTGTCAGTAGAGTATTCTCCACAGATAACATCAATACTCATCCTCATATTCAGTATATTTTCTTACTCCTTCTGCCTGTATTTGATTTCAGGCTGATTATCGTGTGATAACATGATGATTATTAGTGCAAGTGTTTATCGTGACATGTATACATACATATTTTAGCACAATCTTGTGTCACTACCACACCTCCTTGAATTATTCGTCCGACTGAAGGTTGATGCTTTGTCTGTGTATCAACCAATCTATGTGAACTTGACAGTTTAATATGGAATTGTCTAAAACGTACAGACACTATTAACTTCTTGTGATGAAATGTTCACGACTAAATATCAATCAAAGCTCTGACTGAAAAAGACCTATCAATAGTAGACTCTGAACTTCATAAAACAGACATCATTGTGGAAGTGGAGAATATCAGAGACTGAAAAGACTTTACGAAAAAGATTCTCATCCCCTTCCAAACCTCAAAATGTCCTCCTTTTCTGAAACTCGTCATCAAGCCACGGCTGTAATTATGTCTTCCTTGGACTCAGAACACTTGTAAGCGTATTATTATTATTATTCAGTGAGCCGTTCATAACCTAATGATCGTGACTTCAAACATCTTCCGACTTTTAATATACCTTCATCGCCATCCAACATAGTATGTCAGTAAGTGTCCTTATGTTTGACAAGACTTGTAGTCACGAGTGGTTGCAAATAGTCGTGTTCTTGTGTGCTTCTTCTTCTTCTTGTCGAGAAATCGCCAGTCAACACTACTGAATATTTCTGAAGGAAGATGAAATTCCGACTCATTGGGCATCATTAATTCAATTTGTTGTCTACTTTCACCCAGTCCAGTCAGTCTGCTCTTGAGGCTGAGTATGTAATACCTCCAGCTACTCAAGCGAAATCGCTACGAAAAAGCTATGGTTGAAATAAACTATGGATTTACATACATTTCCAGTGCAAATCAGGAACGTATGAAGTATTGAATCGAAACCGAGCTCACCGAAAATTCCTTTCAATTAGTAAAGTTTTCATTCCTAAGAATTTTGTGTATCTACTTATTTGTAGTATTTATGAATAAATTTATTTTGAAACAGTATCTTACTTTCCTGTATTCTTGGGGAGACGTTGTCTGGCTGTTCAAATCGATTGAAACCTTAAGTATCAATTCATCATTCTCCCGCGTGTTTCTTACTCTTAGTAATTATACCTTATTCATTTCCCTTTTGTCTTTATTACGAGACCCAAAAAACATTTACACAGATCACACATTTTTAATAGTAACAATAACAATAATAACAATTGTCAACGATAATTAGAAACACTGAATCATTAGGGTTTTTTGTTTAGAAATTTGTTTTTGTATGTATGTATGTAGGTGTATGTAGGTTTGTTTTATTTTGAGGCACATGATGTGACTGCTCTCAGATTCTCATTGTCCGTCTCCACTGTCTCCATCATCAATGTTGGCGTTGGATGATTCTTGACTATGATCATTTAGGGTAGGTTCTTATCATGTATTTCTATTGGTAATAGTATTGATAAATAATAGTAATAATATTAATGGTGATAGTGTATCTCTTGTATGCGTCGATGTACGGTTAAGGATGGATTTGTTCTTTTTTGTTTTGAAAGGGGATAGATAAGATGAAATACCAAAAATGTGGGAAGAAGGATAACAATCACACTTATTACAACAATTATGTAATATAAATGTGGAAAAACGCTTACATACACACACGCACACGCACACACACAGCAACAATATGTATGTGTATAACAATTAGGAATACTGTATAACCTCTCTCAGTAGACAACTGAGTGTCTTTTTTTGTCTTAGAAAATAAACAATAAACAAAATGGAAAAAACAAACAGGAAGGAATATGAACAACTGCGTGTATAAAGAATGGAATAGAGATATCACCTGAACAAGTAGACAAAATGTAGTTTTTGTCAGTACAGACTATTGTCTCAGTTCTACTCACCGCCTTTATTTGAACTAATACATACATATCAGGTATACAATCATAGAAACAAATTGTAGTAGACAAAACCAGAATAGAACACCAACTAACTCTATATATGCGAACACACAAATATGTGTGTATGTATGTTACACGTAGACAAAAGGAATTAGAACTTTCACAAATAAAGAAATTGCATAAACTATCAGTCAAACTCGACAATCACACAATGGAATACAAACTGAACTGAAAACAAACGAACAAACAAAGATAGTAAACGCAATACTGGGAAAACGAACAAGATACAATAGAATAGGATGTGAACAATACTCTGTTCAGCAATGAGAAACCAACACACGCATAGACTGAAGAATATCCACAAAAAGGATAATTCAGTAGGTGGAGAGGGATTATAGTGAAAAAAAAGACCAAAGAAGAAGAAATGGAAGAAGCACTATCGACCATTCATGTTTCTTCGTTCATATCAGGAAGAATAATTTGTGAATATCACAAAATATTGGCAATCATTCAGTCATCCCAAATATCAGCCTAACAACAATGAATTCCTACAAACAAATTGCTTAGTCAACCACCATTTACATCAATGATGAAAGTAATTCTCTCCGCCAGTGGGTATTATGTGTTTTCATAGTAACTGTGTGAATGTGTAAGGCTGGGAATAGGTCTTACCTAACTGGTAGTATGTATATATACGAATTTTCTTACAACCAGTGGGGGTGGGGTGTTATCACTTTTTCATTCACTGCAAAAACTGATCAGCTTGTCTGTGTGTTTTGATAGTCAGACAAAAAGAAAGAACAAGAACAAACGATTGTATAACATGTGAGGAATCAATAAATGGAACAGTAAACACAATAAATAAATAAATAAATAGTCAGTTATTTAAGTAGTATTGAATATCACTAGTGAAAAAAAATGTGGAACAAAATGTTTTTGAAATAAAAAATAACACTGAGAAATAGAGAGATAATAACACAATGACAACAATAAAACAAATACATTTTTATATGTATTTTTAGAAAATAGAATTCCTCTTTCCGTATTTTGTGTGTATTTCGTTCACTTGTGTGTCTTCGCATCAGTTGTTCGATGAATTGATGATGATCGTTGTACACTAGTCATAATGTCGTTGTCATTGTATCAGAAATATGAATAGTATTCGTTAAAGTGTTTCATAGCACTTGTGCTTAATGTAATGTTTGTTATTATTATTATTATTATTAATGAATGAATGAATTTGAAGAAAAGAAGATAACTAATCACTGTATAAATATATCAATGATAACATCAATTTCATCATCATAATCTTTTTGAAAAGTTGTTGAATGCATTTTGTTTTCCGTATGTGGCTTAGTTTGCGCCTCAATCAAATCACAACAACAAAAATTACAATGCCTAGAGAATTAAGAACCAATTAATTCCATGAGAATTAATTTTGACTGGGCTAAAAGACATACCATCTGTTGTGTCATTTCGCGTGTCATTTCTGTGTGTGCAGATGGATCAAAAAGTTGGGGCATCATCATTTCACAGAATTGTATATGTGCACGAAATTCTGTTGTGTTAGCAGAGTAATTCTGTGTCTCCAGCGGCAATAGAACGCGACAGGCAACACAGTTAAATCTGTGAAATACACAAGAGACTATCTAGAAGGCGCCAGTGGAATCAAACAAACAACATTTATCAAAAACAGAAAGACGGAGAGACCAGAGGGAGAGAGGGAGAGAGAGACAGGGTCAGGGAGAAAGACGATGTGGATCAAAGTGGACAGTTAGACAGTGAGTGAATAGAACAATCATAGTTCCTTAGAAATGTTCGGTTTGAAGAGGGGAGACAGAGAGCATGGTTCCACGACAAACAGAACATGTAGTGTTTATGTATACAACGTCAGTATGAATTAATGCTTAACTTGTTTCGTTTTGTTTTTAAGTTTTAATAGTGGGTAACTGCTTATTACACAAGCAGACGAAAGACACTATCTATATTGTGTGTCGTATGTTTCTGTCTGAGGTGACGTGCCGTTTTTTGAAAAGAAAAAAAGAGAACAAACAGAAGACTTCCAACTGAATAAATAAATAAGTAAATAAGTAAACAGACAAACAATAAGATGTCGGATACTCGTAGAAAACGAATAAAGAATGAAATAAAATTCGAATGCACACAAAGTTTTACTATCGAATTGTTATGAATGCTAACATGTTCATAGTAAGATTTAAGAGTGAAATTTCAATCATGACAAAATGCTGGAAGATTTTGGTTGGTTTTCAAATGTGAAACAGTCGACCATTGTCATCCATGGGCAAATTACTGAGGAGAAAAGACGGTAAATGAACAGTAACGCAGGTATATATAGTATAAAGTGTTGATTGTTTCAATTTCTTTGTTTAAAGTCATAAATTTAACAAGAGGAAAAGAAGGCGCATTATGAAGTCAATCAGAAACAGAAACAAATCAAAAAAAAAAGAAAAAGAAAATGATCAACAAATATGAATATAACAACAGTAAATAAGTGAAATTCAAACTTATTAAAGAAACAACCAACACGAGAACAGTGAATTGAAAACACACTTTCAATCACTAACGCAACAGTGAATAAATAATTATACCGTATATCATTCAATGTTCAATTGGTTGACACACTATTTATTTATTGATTAGTTGGTTTTTTGTTTTAAATAATGATTAATATTAATTAGTCAACAAAATATGTAAACTGGAAGGTATGTTTCTTTTTAAATAAATCTTCTTATAACTACTAAATGTCTTTTATTTGAACACATTTATATGTTATTAATTTTTTTATTATTGATATGAAAACGATGGTATTTCAATATGATCTGGAAAGAAAAAGGATAAAAGACAAAGTTCACGTGGAACTGATGTGAGAAGTATTATGCATACTAACTATTTTATCTACTGGTTAGCTGTTTCACTATACAAAAAGCAGACTATTTGTCTAATTGGTGTGTTATGTGTTAGGTAGAAAGATAAAGATGGTGTTCCCCGACCACCCCCCCTAAACTTTTTATTTTGGATCCCTATTAATCGTAACTAACTTAAGCGATTGGCATGAAATTACAGTTTTCGCTGTTGTTATTATAGTATATATATATATATATATATATATACATTCCGAGAACAATTTAGCGTAAATATGCAGGCTATAAACTTTATTTGTTTTGGTCGTAGTATGAAACAGTGTACTTGTGTGTTTATCGCCGCCTACTGATGATAATCTATGCACAAGTAACATGTCATAAAAGTTACTATCCTATAAAATGTATCCCTCTCCCCCCTATTTAATTTTCTGAGTTTGGTTTTCAATCTTTAGGTAAAAATAAATATCGGAAAAAGGATTTACAACACATAAACATGCTTCTAGCTTACAAGGAGTTTGGAAATATCCAGCATGATCAGGCAGCGCAACAGGAAAGTGAGATGACAAAGCATTATGAGGTCCGATAATGCCATTGGCTGCAGCCGCCAACGAAGCAGCTGCGGCCAAGGATGCTGCCGTCAGTGGAATAGAATTTGGATGCGGCGGTATACCCAGACTAATGGAATTTTGTTGTTGTGATTGTTGTTGTTGGTGTTGTTGTTGTTGCTGTTGTTGTTGTAAGCTGAAAAATGCTGCTGCGGCCGCTGCCGCTGTTGCCGCCGACATATTATTCGCATTCGTAGAACTTCCAGGATTATTTCCACCGACATTACCACCACCACCACCGTTTGTAGCACCAGTTGCAATACAATTTGTACTGTTTGATACAACAGGACTAACACGTATTCCAGCTGACTGGTTGTGCTCTTTGCCTTTTAATGTTTCACCGCTAGCATTACCATTTATGAGTAATGTTGATCCATTCAAATGATGATGATGCTGGTGATGATGTGAATGATGACTATCATTTTGAGAGTCTAATTTATTTCCATTGATCTGGGTTAGCACAGCACCGTGTGGAGTGTATATTGAAGAAAAGTCCGTTTTATTCTCTGGCAAACTAGATCTTTTGTTAGATAAACCATTCATCGTACTACCAGTAGTGATTAAATGACGTGGTGTACTTGTAGATATATGCGTTGGTAGATTTGGAACACCATGTAAACTCGTCATTCCTGATGCGGTGATAGCGTTTAAATAAGGTGTGAAACCAATATTCTAGAAATAAAAATGATCATATGCGATATATACATTGTAATGATTAGTGAAATAAGAATAAATATATTAGAAAAACTACTATTTTGATGTGGTTGTATTCTCTGAGCTGGATGGTTTATTTGCGAAGCTTTCATCGCCCTACTAGGCGACATCATCAGCGCATACTTCAATTCGAAGTGAACTTTTAAATTTCTCCACGAGTTTATTAATCATCTCTCCTAGTGACCTTCAACGTCGGGATCGGTCGTTTTTGTGTGTTTTCACACACTCTGGATGTCATGTCTTTTGACAGCTAGCTTATGTTCTTGGATATGAGATCACCTCAGAAATAACTGCAAGAGTCCTCAAATCTTCAGAAATTGACGTCGCATCAAAACCAACAAAATCACTTCACTCAGTTCTATGCCAACCAAAAGACTCAACAGCGAAAGAAGATAAAATCGACATCGTCTACAAAATAAGTTGCTATGACTGCGAGAAACACTACATTGGCCAACGTGGACGTCCCCTTCGTCTCCGTCTTCATGAACATAAACTAGCCGTCAAGAGACATGACATCTGCTCCATCACTCATATCACTAAATGCAGACAACCACGGACATCAATTCGACGGAGACAACCAGCGTTCAAATATTAGACGGAGGAAACTCCAAGAATGCTAGAGAATTTTTAGAAGGCCGCCTGATATTCCAGTGAATCATAAATCAATAGACACATCGAGATAAACAAAATTTATCAACCGATAAGAAAGAAACCTCACACACAAAGGGTCAAAGTTCAAGTCAAGGGAACAATCAGTTTTAATACAAGCAGCCACCTAGATGGTGTGAAAACACACAAAACAACTAATCACGTCCAAGGTAGTCAGTCACCAGGAGAGTTGATTAATAAACTGGTGGAGAAATTTAAAAACTCACCTCATAGAATTGAAGTATGCGCTGAAGCTTCGCAAATTAACTTTCCAGCTCAGAGAACACAACCACATCAAAATCATCCACCTGAGCTACAAATCTTCTCTATCATATCTAAAATCTACTATTATATTATTATTATTCCCTTGGATGATGAGTGGAATACAGGGCTTCAAAAGTACATCTCCACTTTGTCCTGTCCTCCGAACTCCTCCTTATCTGGCTTTACAACAATTCCTCGTTAGCGTTCATCTCCTCCTCACACGATCTCTTCCATATCACCTTCAGATGCCCAACTCAGAGTTTCCCATTCTAATTCCACTCAAGGGCCTGGTGCGCAATATCATCCAACGGTCAGACCGAGTGGTGGTCTTTTAATTTTATATCCCTTTCACATTACGTGTGGTGGTCTTATTCAAGAAACACACAAACTGGTAGACAGTCTACACTTATTACATTTTATCTCTTAGGTCAAATTATTATATCTGTCTGAATAGACATTCTAAACTTATATGGCTTATTAGTTGATACAGTTAACTTTTAGCCAATAAATAGTTAACAAATTTGAAAACCGGTGAATATAGACAAATACGATTGTTGAAACTCATTGTTCCCAATTCAACAAAATCAACACTTTGAATACTGGGCAATAATAACAATAGTATGAATAAAATCCAGTCGTTTGTAGATTTTAGGTAATTTTGCTCAGTATACTCGGTGAGTGAGTGATTCAATAATCTGTAATGACGACTTAGCTGTATCAGTGGTCCAATGGTAGGATGCTCGCCAACTACACACACACACTATGCGGATTCGATTCCCAGCGGACGCATTCCTCAACCCCGGTCTAGTTTAATAGTTGACAGTTGACAGACAAAATTAACCCTTTGATTTCCCCGGAATGCGAAAAACAACATAGAGACAGGATGAATTGATTAGATGAATAAAATACCTGCAAAAATTGATGTGCAATCATGATACGATTAAAGAACACAGTTCAATGTCAACAGCTGAGCAAAACAGATATAAGTGGGTATAAACTAAAACTGACAATATCTATATGTTTCATTCTCAGGTTAACTGACTTCATCATGAGGATTTCAGTTATAAAGTGAAGCACACACTGTTGTTCAGTTCTGCTGGTGAGATTTCCAAACATAAACTCATTATCCTTCACTAACCGTTAATTTATATTAATATATCTGATGGGTTTTCTGAAAGTGTTGGATGAAATATTTCACCAGGAACCGACATGATCTATAAGAACCATTAAAACAAAGAAGCGACAGATCGTTGTTTTCTCCTATTATGTAATTCCCATTCAAGACTTCATCGTGGGTGGAACTCGGCACCATTAAGTAAAGAAACCGGCATGTTCACAATTCAGCTTCATAATATTAAAATACCATCTCTTCATACTAGATTCATATTTTATTTCACATAAAAATGATGGCGAAGATGTGTAGTACAGATGCTGTTGTGTTATCTGAGCTGGACAACTTAATTAAAAACCTTTCATTGATCTTCTGGACAACATCTTCACAGTGTTAACTTCAAACTAAGATAGAATCAACTTGATGAACTGAGAGGTTATTCCAACAGTGACTTGTGAATAAAGCTTGTGGAAAAAACCAAACCTGTTTCAGAAAGTGTAATTTTTTTATCATTGCAGTTATCACCGTAATATATAAATTATAAAGACACTTTTTAAAAACAAAAGTGAAATCTTATGAGTAACCGTCAAAACTTTAAAGAAAAGTGGAACTTTCAAACAAAATTCATGTGGCTTTCATGTGGTTAGCCGGTGAACAGTTCACAGAATGAAGTTTTATATGAATCACAATGTGCTGTAGTTTGTTAGTAGCAAGTAATTATAACAGTAAAACATTGAAAGAAAACAACAGTAAGTGCTGAATTAAAATTTAGTTAGTTGTTCTGTGTTAATCAGTTGAAATCCTACTCCCTTTCTCATCATGCCTAATGGTTTAAAAGTAGTGCAGTTAACGGCTTCCTAAAATTAGTTACCCCATAGACGTATCATAGTCATCATGTCTGATTTTATAATATGGCGGTCGATATCCAGTCTGGAAATAAATCAGTCAGAATTCAGTCCACCTAAAATAACGCCCACTATTTTACTATTCATGATTACAGAATAATTGACATGACCTTGGTGATATTTTAAGTCATATGCTATTGCGTAAAATATGCTTTGCGGCTCATCACATCGTTGTGTTCTCGTTTAAGTAGTTGGATGACATCGCTGGTGTAGTAAAGTGATATATTCGTGATCAGCGGCGTTTGTGTCTAACTCAGTCTCCCTATTGCACATTCTCAACATAGTGCGGAACATACCATTTTTGACTGACTAATTTATTTGGGAATTTATTGGATCATCGAAATTCTGGTTTAGGCTATCAACTCAGCAAATTTACAGTTTAAATCAAACAAACTGAAACCTGCGCTCGAAAAATGGTAAAAAGAAAATTTACGACTTAGGTGAATGTTTCTAGTGCTAATGTATCCAGTGAGCTGGGTGGTTTGATTCAGTCATAAACCTTTCTAGACAATAATTTCAACGATAAAATCAAAATGTCGCACTCCAAAACATATATATATATATATAAATGTATAGTTCGAAGTTCCACACTTTCACTGTACTTATAAAATTAGTTCATGAGGTTGAAAAAGCTGAAGTGCAGTGAACTCAACTCGTGATCAACAGAAATCTTAAGACAAATGACCAGTTGGACGGGATCCAGCTGAAAGACAGCATAACGCCAAGGCACCTTACAAATAACTTCATGATGTTATATGAAGCTCTTACACTGTTTTTCACTATTTCTTCCTGATTCGATACAAAAAGTTTTAATACTATATCATGTTGCCTGCTTATTATTTCATCATTATAATCCTGTTGGCAATTGTTTGAATCAATTAAACGAGCTATTTTCTTAGGCGGTGGTTTTAATTCCATTTGAACAGAATTTGATGATATTTGAGATTGGGTTATCTCAGTTGCCTCTTGCATAGACGACAGTGTCTCCTCTAGTAAATCTTTAATCATAGAATTGTCTCTTCCATTTAGCAGACTTAATGATGACTTATTTGATTCATACGACTGAATATTCTTATTGGTTGGACATCTTAAATACAAGCCACTGGCAGACTGAAGCGTACTGGGCAACTGCCATTGTGTTATGCAAACGCATACACACAACCACAAATGTGCATATGCATATGAGTTTTTTTTTGGTTGTAAAGAAAAGTACAGTTTATTCATTTCGACAATGATCCGCAATAGTTATGATGATGATGATTAGAGAAACAGATGTCATTATACGAAATTATTGATGATTTTAAAGCGGGTTACAAAGTGAGAATGTACAACCGCAAAAAGACATGCACATGTATGAATGGTTGTGCAAATGGTTTAATATTAAGGCGTTTTTATTACGTGATTGGAGAAATCAGCAGTATGTTTATGATGCAATTTTTCAAGAATTTTTTTAATGTTGATATTGTTAGCGTGATTCACAAAAAAGCGATAATCAAATGCATTAATGTATATATTAACCCAGACGGATGATACCAACGTACAGCAAAACACCAACATCCCCAGGATAATGAAAGAAAACGTATTACAATCAACAAGAAGAAATGGGATAGGACAAAAGAAATGATTGATTTTTAAATTAAATTGACCAGTTAAAAAAAGCAAAGTTACGGCTATTATGAAGCTAAATAACTATCCGCGTGCTGGTGTAATGTAATATGTTGAAAGCTATGAATTCGTCGTAGCAGCACCATATAAGCAAACAAATTTCCCTTCAAAAATGCATTACTCGTGAGTAGTTAAATTTTCACTGTTTTCAGACTATGAAGATTAAGCCCTTTGACGTGTTGGTCTTCAGAGATTTGTTTGGCTTCCAGCTATATTACAAACTGCCAGAGGAATCACTGAAAACCAGAGTACTGGAAAATTCACCACTGGACGCCCATGATCCCACCAGGTATCCGAACCAAAATATTCAAATTATGAGGCCAGTTCATTATCCATTCAGTCACTAGGCTGACTAGGAAGATCCTCAACAAGTCGACTTCTTACTATCGGCATTCACTAATCAGCAATTGATTAGTTTGCAAGCATTTGAATTCATGAGTCATAGAATCAGTCTGAGTGACTGAATGGTGGTCAATGGGTTTGCCTCGTAAACCGGGAGCCGATCCCCGGTAGTGACGTGGGCACCCCTGAAGAGTCCGAAATTAGGACGAAACAGCTATTCAGCACTACCAGGTTTTCCAATACTTCTATAATTTATATGAATTCATGATCTATCCTCAAAAAGCCTTCAGGCGCATGATAATCAACAAAAATCTTCACTGAATAATCGTGAATAAACCTCTCAATATTTTTGTCGATAGTTTAATCATTCATATTCATTTGATTTCATGTATGTCATTACATCACATAAGTTTTTGTCAAAAAAAATCTCATTAAAACTATAAACTTGTCAACTGTTAACACATTAATGAATAACTTCGTAAGCATTAGTCACACATGTATTTGCCCTCAATAATTCCTTCGATTACACCGATGACTGGTATACACGCGCCTATTTTCAGTTATAAAACCAACTGACTAAATCATCAAATGCTATGCATCTACTCAATAACATTTAATTACTTTGGATTTAGGCTATCTTTAAAAGGCCCAACTTCATACATAAACACTTATTATTCCCTTGATCGGACACTGAAATCACTGACATATAAATATATATATATACGCAAGGGGGCACGCATGTGCTCATAACAAAATATGTTAGTGCAGATGAATCCAAGCGAACACGTATTCAGAACAAGTCTAACATGGACGAAAAAGCAACGCTTTAAAAATATAAAGATGAATGATTTACAGTCGGTCTACTTACAAGTAGTGGATAGGCGGCAGGTGGCGCGGCCTGACTACCGAGTGCCAATGCAGCTGGTGTGGTATACAGAAGCTAAATGAATGAATACGAAGTAACAGTTTAAGAATAAAAAATGAACTACGCATCAATTAAATAACAATGTTCAAAATCATGCATAAAGTTTATAAATGGAAAAATTGTAATAAATAACGTATAAATCTATGATCTACTTAACATGATTGTCACTACCCAGTCTCGACTTATTACAACACTTTCAAACTGGGTATAATATTTGGTAAAATTTACGATATCAGGCTGAGTGGTAGTAAACCGAGTCATTCTGTGATGTAATAACTAAATATATTCGGTCGATGTAAGTAGGCGTGAATACACGTGACCCATAGAAAGCTTCAGTTCACTGTAGATCCCTGAGGTATTGCAAAACACCTTCACAGTAGAGAGTTGTTGTTAGACATGAATGATCCTTTATATTATTTCTGGTTACATTTATTTTCAGGAGAAAGATAATGTGACTCGTAGACCACCTCCAGCACCCCCAAACACACATACATACATCCACAGAACTCTTAAAAGTAACTTTATTCATATATTGGTAAAACATTGAGACACCTCTATTCTCCCTTTTACTAAACAATTCATATTCTTGAATATAGTTCTTTTTTTCGAAAAAGATAAACAAAAAGAAAATCAATTTCAAGTGCACTTTTTGCTGAACTATAATATAAAATAATACATAACTCTACAATAACTTGACTATCTACGAGTAGATCCCATTCACCTACACAACACACTAATCACAGCATGCCAAAATTAAACAAATGCTGCTAAAACGATAATAGTAATACGCTAACTACTACTACTGATGGAGAAATCTACATGAGCAACAGAAGAAAAAAAGGAGACGAATAATTCACACCGAAAACTATTGGAAAAACATGTTCATTTTCCTTTTTTTTGGCTTTTGATTAAGAGAAATAGACTTCAAACTACTACGACGAGAATTACTTGATTTCAACTAGTATTGATAATCTGAAAACAACTTTTTTTCATGAAATCAAAATCAAACAAATGATCAGTAAAGCTTTTAAGATATATTTTATGCATTTTTTTAATATTATAAAAAACAAATTGAATAGAGATAATAAAATTGTGACACAATTTTTTGTGATAGATAGCGCTGACTGGTATCAGTAGTTGGAGACGTTAGCAGTCGGATAATATATATGATGATTTCAACACTGGACGACCTCAATAGTGGTGCCCGCAGGCTGGCTGCCTGCTTTGATTCAAGAAGAAATGAATCGGTTTAAATAACCCAAGTTATGACTAGATACTTGAGCTTCACGCTAATACAATGATTAACATCAGTCATTTGTAAGAGAGACAGTTCCACCAGCTGAAATCAATAGCGTTGCAGCAGCACATTATGTCCACTTTCTTAGTACTGTTGGGAGTTGAATATATATTCTGAGTTTTTTTTTATTTTAAAGCGAAGCGTGATGGAGTTTTACATCGAATTGTATGATTGGCAAAAGACTGCCTTAAATCATAAAAGCTCGGATATCCTACTGATTATCGACAGATTATCTATCTGTCTGTCTCCCTCTTTCAAAAAACAACTGAATGAGTAACTTCCCCAGATTGCTTTCGCTTCAGTGGTCCAGCCAGTAGCAGAACGTTAGGCAATCATGGACGTGGTCCAGGGTTGAATCCTCGGTCGACTCACTCCTATTTCTCAATTAGCTTGTGATAAGCCCAGTAAAGTGGGCAGGGTGGGCGTGAGGCTAACGGACTCACACTGTTAAAATAAATACCACTGCTAGCTCTAGCATGAAGCCCTATGTTCCACTGTGAACGTGGAGGAACAGAATAAATGAAATACAATAATAATACACAACACTTACTTAGTGTACATTATCTTTCGGTAGGAAACTTTGGTTAAATTTTATTTACTAAAAAGTTAAAGATTTAAACCTTCAGAATTTTTGTGAGCTAATGCACAGATATTTGTTTTAAACGACATGACTGACAATATTGGATGGAACACATGAACATAGATCTTTGTAATTAGTACAGCTGTTTTTGCTTCAAACTGTCGATCCCCATGACTGTTACTCATATATTGGATAGACTCCTCAATATTTATTGCCTATAACTTATATTTTGGTTGTAATTCTCTCTCTCTCTCTCAGTGACTGACAATGGAATCCAGGAAACACGATTAGATCCCCTGAGACCAGAAAACAGATATCTATCAGACTACAGCTTGAAACGACGCATATTAGCTGTGAACACAAAGTAATTTCTCCGAGTATTGTTTAAATCTGTTTTAATTAAAATACACTTAACTAAACTGTGATTATGGTTCAAATATTATTCAATTGATTAAAAAGGATTTGGACGTAATTTTCGCAAAACCATTTAACTACTTATAAGTAGGCGAAGGTAAACAGACCAAAGTAGTCATGCATGCCTGATTTAAATATCACTTACTGAATTAGTATTATTTGTAAGCGTTCCCTGGGTTGGATTTACTCCATTCGGACCAGCTCCACCTGCTGCTGCAGCAGCCGCGGCTGCCGCAGCCAGTGGTCCAACACCACTCTGAGCTAATAATTGCTGTTGTAACAACTGAAATTGTACATTTCGCATAATCATATTATTTCTTCCATTTTGTATCAACTGTTCACGTAAATGTTGCGGTGGATGCAAATACTTGCACGGTGGATCACGACGTTGACATTTGCCCTATAGCAAAAAGTTTATGGTCGACAAGGTGACTTGATAAAATTAAAATAACAAAATAACATATAAAAATATATTTTTAATTTGAAAATCAGAAATTAAGAATTGACCAGTATATGTATCACAATGAGTAAAAATTTCTATTTGTTTAAAAATATTTGTTGAACTAGAAGATAAAAATTACATGACTGGTTAATCTATGCGCAAACAGTGAAATAAGAATATATACATGAAGGTGTTTATGGATCTCTGTTCTATATTTCTCAATACTCCCGCTCTTCATCCTAATTTTTGTAAATGACAACGTTAATCAACTTCTTTAGTATCAATTATGTAGCGTTCCATCGGTCACTTCACCTGCCTAGACAGCATCGTTTTTACTACAGATGGAACAGACGTGCATGTAAAAAAAAGCCAACCAGAATCGGAAAAGCAAGGCAGACCATCGTTACTCATAAACCAGTGTGAGAACCAACTGTACTCAGCATACGGAACAAGATCCAGATCTTCAAGCCTAATGTCAAAACTGCTCTTATATACGGATCAAAGACTTGGCACCAAAAGCACTCTCAGCACATCACTACAAATTTTCATCAACAGACTCCCTGCATCCAAAGTGAAGATTGAATAACTAACCAGAAATGGTCAGCAACAGGGAAGGAACTCTTTTAATGAACCAACCAGGAAACTATTGCCCAACAATAATGCTACAGGAAATGGAGATAGACTGAACATACGCTAAGGCGACACAGTTGACTGACATCAAGCTCCAGGCTACCGAGCGGAATCCGACGAGATGGACATCCGAGGATGGCATGGAGTTCTTGGAGGGAGGAAATGAAAGCATATGGGTAGTCATACGGTTAGCTAGAAGAGACTGCATAGGAACATGAAGAAGCGCTACTGAAGCTCTGTGTTCCACCTAGGAGAATCAAAATAGATCTGTCACAATCAGCTGAGAGTTAAGTTTTCTCCTCCTAGTGAACTATTTTTTCTCCCAACTTGTATTCAATCCGGGTTTAAATTCGGTCTAATCATCATTCCTTTTGATGTCTGTTTAGCAAAAATGTGGAAGAATTGAAGAGATATTTATTCTGAATAAATGTAATATTTGAAAAATTATGTTTTCCGCTACAAACTGATCCCAATCCCTGAATTTATTCAGAATTAGGAAGTGAAAAATTCGAGTAATTGTGTCCAACTGGTTCATTCATTGATACGTAACCAAAGCACACACTGAATCGATTTTAATATAATCGATGTTTCATTACGCCTTTATGATTAATGCGTTGAGATGATTGTACAGTAATCAATTACTGTGTTGAGAATCCAGGGACTATTAACAAATCTAGTTTTCGGAAAGGAGTATCTTTCACAGTCTTTAAGTAAATAAGTGTAACCACCTCATGTCTTTTCACAGTTAATTTGTGTTCTTGGATTTTGATTCGAAAGGCACGCATATTTGAACAATGTAGTCTTTTGTGAATGATACTGATTTTATCTTCTCTTGACAGTAGATCCTCTGACCTGCGAAATACTGCATGGAGCGGTTGTGTTGGTTGGCTTGTGTCCTATGTTTATTTCAAGTGATCTTAGTATTCTAGACGTTATTTCAAAGACATTCTCTCTTCATACTTATATGGTAGAATGAATGTTCTTGTCACCTTTGAAGATAGTTTCTTGATGATATTTCATTTTGAGTTTAAACCTTTTTAATAAAATTTTATGGGTAACATTCCTTTTAAAGACAGTTGGTACATATTTATCTTCCATTATCCTCAGCATAGGAATGCTACAGTGTGTCTGAACTCTTTTAAACAACGATTGAACACAGTTTCTTTAGTGAGTCACTGGATTACTGTTATTATATAATTGATTTTCTTGAAATGTGCGTTGATTTTATGGATACTTGTGTTTCCAAATTTCCTGTGTCAGTACTCCTGATTAAGACTTCTAAGAACGGAATTTTGTTGTCCGATTCTTATTCTCCTGTTATTTCAAAGTTTTCAAATATGTTTGTAAGTGTATTTTCAATTTACTTCTTTTGATTATTACGCATGTATCATCAATATAACACATCCAAAATTTTAGTGTAATCTTCGCATAACGGGCTTGGGCTATGAATCTCAATATGGGCAACACAAAAACTTCACAATTAAATCAACCAGCTCAGAGAAGCCAACTAAATCAGAAGGTCGGGTTTGAGGACAAATCCTCGCCGAAGATAATGGCTAGTGGTCGCGCAATGTCATGAATTGGCAGAAGTTTGAATTCATTGGCTGGCCATTGGATCGGGTCCTACTGGCTTAACGGTCTACGACCTCGCTAGCCTTGTAACCAGAAGGTCCTGAGTTCGAATCCTGTCGGTGAGTTCATGCTGGTGAGGCGTCCCAAACTAGGACGAAACAGCTGTTCAGTACTCCCAGGCTTTCCAATGGTTCTCTAACTGATGATGAAATCCTGTAACCAACCAATCAAATCCCTACAAACCAATACTCAAATGTAAATCAAATTCATCCACCTAAGCTTTATAAATCTCTATTATTTCATAATTCTTTGCACAACTACTGGACTGCAAACAACTCTTCTTCTTTATTTCTGGCTTAGCGAGGTAAAGGAGCGCGTCAGTGGCCGTGGACCGAATCCCGGACCATGGTGAGCGTCCTAACTGCCGTGCGCCACCGACGCCCACAAACAGAATACCTCGTGTTTAATAGTAATAATAGCAAGAAGAAAAGCAGGAAAACGCTAGTCTATAATAACTGTACAGTGAAAAATGTTTGCAACTCTTAGGCATATAATATACAGGTGACATGCTACATGGTTGAAGTCTCCAGAAGTTCATCACACCGCAGGGTTCAATGAATATTTCGACTAAGAGAACAACACATAAGATCTACTTATTGGAATTAATTCTTTTGCTGTAACCAATAATTGTTCATAATTACTTCTTACTTAAAATCAGTACATTAAATTAAAAGAAATACTTAAAAGACGAGAGAAACTTGGGTGGGAGAGAAAAGAAAAAAAACCCAACTTGGGTTGGTGTTGATGAGGTGTGTGGCGGGGGGGGGATATAGAGAAGAAATTGAATGTCAAAACACACACGCACGCACACATTGAACTTGTTAAAATGCTGACCAGAAAGTGGGACATTACAATTACTAAACGAACGAATATTATTCATCTATGGAAATGAATAAGGAATAGAGAAAAAAATACAGGAGGGAAGGAAAATAGAATAATATTTACAACAATAGCAGTAGTAGTAGCAGCTAAAGTATTGGCAGGAATAATAACAATAACAGCGACAACACTAGTGCTACTAGAATCTAAAGAATTTTACAGAAAAGAATGATTTCTTTTATTTCATTATATATGTTGTTACTTTTTTCCATTAAGCTTAAAACACTCAGTAATGGATATAAGAGAACTTAGTCAGTGGCAATGAAGAGGTACCTGGTGTCTGTGTGTGCGTGCGTGTGTGTGTGTGGTTCGATGGGGCTGGGGTAGACGAATGTGAAGAATACACACACAAACACACAAACCCATAATACACAGAAGAGATTAGTGATTCGAATGAAAAAGAATAACAACAGCAATCTGATAATACTATAAGCTGTTGTTCATAAAACAGGAATATCTTAAAAATGAATAATGCAATGCATATGATGGGGTGACGAACAAATCCATTCTTTCACATACTGAGCTATTTCCCAAATTTTTTTTTCCTCTGTGTATATTACTTCAAGTTTCCAACCCCTTAGTCTTTAATGAACAATACAACAACAAAGTTGTTTATTCTTGGAGATTTAGTCAGAAAATGAGTCTAGCAGCTTAATATAATAAGTATCATAAATCGTAGACCTCTCTAGTTCGAATTCTACCTCAACCGCCACGCCCCCGACAATGCTCAACACCCTCTCTGCAGATGGAAGTCAGCTACGCTTACTAGTATTTAGCAGTTATATACTGGGGTTATAAATATGTTTTTTACCCCTTTACGTTCCCAGTGGAACATAGGGCCTCAAGCTAGAGGCTTGAAGTTTCTGTAGCAGTAGTGCTTATTTTTACAAAATGCGTAACCTTTCCCCTCTTTACGAGCCTTATCACTGGCTTAGAGAGGTAAAGGAGTGAGTTGACTGGGGATAGAACCCCGGACCACCTGTGGCGTGGTTGGTGAACCTTCTATCGCTGCACCACCAACGCACATACAACTGATAGGTAGATAAAATATATTATACAAACTGAGATTAGATCATACTTCTTTTCATCTGAACGTACAAATACAGAGTTAAGATTCACAGCCTATCACGGCTGACTCCATTACAGACCAGTTTGTTTATCATGCTTCAATTATTTATCCTTGAATATAAGGACTGTTCTGCTGACTAGTGAGTGCTGCTAAACTGCTCATCTAGTAGCGAAGTATTAGTTATCCTATCCGTGGAAAATACAAATCTATAAACCGGTTAACTAATCAGCAAAAAAACCACTTGTAATATTTGACCTCATGGGTTTCTTCTTCTCCCTTCTTCCTGTGTCTGTTGGCTATAACAATCTCCATTGCTTTATATTCTACATTCATGTATTCAAACCCCTCTTAGTATACTTAATTACCTATACCAAATGGTGTGTAGATATTTTAAAGACATAAATTTAGTATAACCAAAAAGGATAAGATTGGTGAGGACATATCTAATTATTTATCATAATACCTTATAATGAACATTATCAAAATGATCAGCCTTGCACTGATCCCACCATGTTTTCAAATGATATCAACCATACTGTATCTGGGGGAGGTTTTCTCTTCACTGACAGTTACCTGTTCACTTCTCATCAAAACTATAACCCCCTACTTGCTTTTCTTCTACAATAATGACTTTTCCATCTACATATATCAGCGCTTTTTTAGAGATATCAATCTATTATTATTATATTATTATTGTTTCCATTAGTTCCTAGAGGAATAAATAGGGCTTCAGCCACACGTCTCAATT